AGGAAGTGGAATTTGCAGGGAGGAGGGGGGGAGGGGGAGGAGGAGGAGGAGGAGGAGGAGGAGGAGGATTGTAAGATCCTTCGTGCTCTCTGAGCTTGGTTCTTTTCCTGCAGACGTTTCATGACCCAACTCGATAACATCATCAGTGCTAAGAGGGAGTGGGGTTTGTGGAGAGGGGGAGGAGGTAGAGACAGCTCCCTGGAACTCTTTTCAGCACTTCCTATTTGGGGGTGCAAAAATGGCAGATCTGCACACAGAGCAACAGTTGCTGCCAGGAATTGTGTAAAGAACGGAGAAAAAACATCCACTTGGCTTTTTGGCGGTGATATTCCTAGAATTTAGGAATAATGACTCATGTTGTACATGCAATGCGTGCATGTTGGCATGGTCCAGCCTCTTGCAGAATAAGATTTTTCCTTCTCTCCTCCCCTCTCGGTCACTTTGGAATAATTTGGACACAGACTGGAGGCAGAAGACAAGGACAGAAAATAAGCACCATGTTCTGTGTCAAGGACTCTGGCCACAGACAGAAAAACCAAAGCTTTGGGGAAACATTTTCATTGCCCTCGCACCTTTAAGCACTCAAATACCACTGGATATTTTAAAGAAGGGACTAGACAGTCCCTTATCTGAAATGGGATAGGCTGGACTAGAAGACCTCCAGGGTCCCTTCCAACTCATTCTATTCTATTCTATTCTATTCTATTCTATTCTATTCTATTCTATTCTAAGATCCTGCATGGCTTGAGATGGCTTAGAAAATGCTGCCATTGTGGCTACAGAGGAAATGGGACTTATACATTATTACAATTCAGTATGTCAGACCAGCAGCAGTGAGGCCCAGGTTCAAATTCACGATAGCTCAACCTACTGTCTGCAACCTAGAGACACAATCCAACATTTTATGCTGCCCTTCGAAAAGATTTGGCATCATTTGTGCCATTGTCCCAATGATTCTTTTTTTTTAAAAAAAGGGTGTTATTACGCCATAGTCAATAGTTTTCAATCTTGGCAAGTTTATGATTGGGAGGACTATGTCCCAGAATTCTCCAGTCGTTATCTATGGACCAGCTCCCAGAATCCCCCAGCCAGAACTGGTGCACTTCAATTCCCAGCATTCATGGACTTCAACTCTCAAAATTGCCCAGCCAGCATTTGTGAACTTCAGTTCCCAGAATTCTCCACTCAGCATCTGTGGATTTCAACTCTCAGAATTGCTCAGCCACCAATTGTAAACTTCAGTTCCCAGAACTCTCCATTTAACATCTACTGACTTCAATTCCCAGAATTCTCCAGTCAACACCTGTGGATTTCAACTCTCAGGCTGCTGGCTGGAGAATTCTGGGAATTGAAGTCCACCCATCTTGAAAGTGGTCAGAGTGAAGCCACACTTTTGAGGAAGTTTAGATATTTGCAGAAATGAATTTGCAAAGATGGTTAAAACTGTTTACTTCCCCCCACCCCCCACCAAAAAAAAGGGGGTTCTGAGGAGAATAGGGCAGAAAGAAAGAGTTTATTTAGAAATGCTCATTCATAAGTCTCACCTCTGCAATTTCCGGAGGGACAGCTCACCTATTGCCTAATTTTTGTCTCGAAAGCAGAAGTTCATGGCTGTGGCAATTGCAATGTGGAATTGTCACATTGGCAGGTGGCATAGAGGCTTTAAATGGCTACGTGCAGAACACCAATTACAGGAGGGGGGGGGAATATTGGTGGAAATGAATATTTTTTCCCCCAAAATAGCCCTCTTCTGTACTGTCCCCCCTGAAAACACAGGCCCAAACCTCCACTAGATCGCCTTTGGGCTCTCTCACTCTTTCTCTCTCTCCCTGCCTTTCTTTCTCTCTCCTTCTCTTCCTCTCTCTCCTTCTTTCCCCATCTTTCTCTCCCTCTGTCTCCTTCTTCTCCTCTCCTTTTTGTCTTTCCCTTTCTCTCTCTTCGCCCCATCTTTCCCTCTCTCTCCCCTTCTCTGCCTGTCTTTCCTTCCCTCTCCCTCCTTCTCTCCATCTTTCTTTCCCTCTCCCTCGCTCTCTTCTTCCTCTCTCCTCCTTCTCTCCCCACTCCCCTTTTCCTGTCGTTCTCTTCCTCTCTTTCCTTCTCCTTCTCTCCCTCACCTTCTCTTTTTCCCCTGCTTCTCTCTTTCCCTCCTTCTCTCCCTATTTTCCTCCCTCTCCTCTCTCTCTCTCTCCTGTCTTTCTATCGCCATTTCCTCCTCTCCCTCTCCTTCTCTGCCCCCACTCCACTTTCTGTCTTTCTCTCCCTTGCCATCTCCTCTTCCCCCTCTCTCACCATCTCCTCTCTCCCTCTCTCCCACCTCTCCGTCTCCTCTTTTTCTGTCTTTCTCTCCCTCTCTCTTTCTCCATCTCCTCCTCTCTCCCCCCTCCTCTCTTACACTCTCTCTCTCCCAATTTTCAGTGTAGAAATAATTATAGCAATCTTCCTGGCAGGCCTGACAAAAGGATTTTCTGAGGTGTCTTGCGGAGAAGGCCTTGCAGCACGCGGCACTTGCGCGATTAAAAACAAGTTTTGCATTTGCGGGGGGGCTCTTTAGACAAAATGGTAGGATTTGCATCCTTGGGAGACCCAAACCAGCATACAGTGTTTCCAGCCTGCTCAGGATTGGCAGGGGCAACGTGCGAAGGAAGGATCTGCTTGCTTCAGAGGGAGGGGAAGTCACCTCTTTGCAGCCCACCTGCAAATGGACACGCGGTTGCGGGCGCATTCACAAAATGGTTGCCGCACAACACTTAACCTACGCGCTGTCGGCCGGGGCCACTATCAAAATATTCATTGGCAGCTAGAAAATGAATTACACATCCCTCTGGCTGTTTTGTTTTTTTTCCCCCCTACCAATCCAGAAGAAACTTTGGATAGCCCAAAGTTACTGCTACGAATAAATACAATGAAGATTGATGCCTGGCATCACACCAACTTCCTATTTGTGTTTTGATCTCCGTCATCCTCCAGATTATGATCCAGGTAAGAGCCAGTTTGCTCTACTACGTAAGGCACCAGGCTAGAAAGTGAGAGACCCCGAGTTCAAGTCCCACTTTAGGCAGGAAAGCCAGCCGGGCGATTTCGGGCCAATCACCAGGAGACGGTGAATTCTAGTCCCGTCTTAGGCATCAATGTCAGTTGGGTGACAACTTTGAGCCAGTCACCAGGAGAGGGTGAGTTCTAGTCCTGCCTTAGGTACAAAAGCTGGCTCAGTGACTTTGGCCAATTACCTGGAGACTGGGAGTTGTAGTCCTGCCTTAGGCATGAAAACGGGCTGGGTGACTTTGGGCCAGTCACCAGGAGAGGGTGAATTCTAGTCCCGTCTTAGGCATCAAAGTCAGTTGGGTGACAACTTTGAGCCAGTCACCAGGAGACGGTGAGTTCTAGTCCCGCCTTAGGCACAAAAGCCAACTGGGTGACTTTGGGTCAATCACCAGGAGACTGGGAGTTGTAGTCCCGCCTTAGGTGTGACAGCTAGCTGGGTGATTTGGGGCCAAACGCCAGGAGACAAGGAGTTCTAGTCCTGCTGTAAGCACAAAAGCTGGCTGGGTGATTTTGGGCCAATCACCAGGAGATGGTGAATTCTAGTCCTGTCTTAGGCGTCAAAGTCAGTTGGGTGACTCTGGGCTAAACATCAGGAAACTGAGTTCTAGTCCTGCCTTAGCTGGCTCAGTGACTTTGGCCAATTACCAGGAGACCGGGAGTTGCAGTCCTGCCTTAGGCATGAAAACGGGCTGGGTGACTTTGGGCCAGACAAAAGGAGAGAGTGAGTTCTAGTCCCGCCTTAGCACGAAAGCCGGATGGATGACTTTCGGTCAATTACCAGGAGCCTGGGAATTCTAGTCCCGCCTTAGGCATGAAAACCAGTTGGGTGACTTTGGGCCAACCATTAAAAGATGGTGAATTCTAGTCCTGCCTTAGGTAAGAAAGCCGACGGGTGAGTTTGGGCCAATTGCCAGGAGACTGAGAGTTCTAGTGCAACGTTAGGGATGAAAACCAGCTGGATTGACTTTGAGCCAATCCCTCTCTCAGTCCATCTCAACCCCACCCCGAAGGCTCGTAGTTGTGGTGAAAATAACAGGAAGAAAGTGTGTTGGGACTCTTCAGTCCCAACTAAATTAGGGACATTTGCCATCTCGAGTTATTTGTCAAAATAATAAAATTATTATTATAAAGTTATGGGATGTAAACAAATAAATTCATCACAATAAAACTTTGGCATATTCCTAATACCGCCCCAATTCTTCGAAAACCTGTCTCAAAAGAGCCATTTAGAGTTCACTACGCTTGGCACAACATTTCATAAAAGTAATTTTTTAAAAAATTCATTTCCTTGTTCCAGTGCATAGAAATGTTCCCAAATGATAATTCAGCTGCTTCGCGAAAGAAACTGTGTCTCGCTTTTTCTCTGCCAAAACTGCTCCTTGGCAATCTTTACACAACACCATGGAAAAAAATTGAATTTTCAACGCCAGGTTACTGTTTGTCTCACAAATCGCCAGCATTCTCCAGGATGAAACAGGTGTATTTACAGACCTGTTTGAAAGCTGCACTGAGGCAGCTCAGGAATTTTTTTTTTTTGGGGGGGGGGGGGGGGTTCAGGGCACATTTTTCCCAATATAACTTTTACCCCCTCCCTCCCGGGGCCCCACGGCCACTACACAAAAGACCACTGCACACACACACACACACACAAAACCCTCCACAGCTGCCCAAATTGTTCTTCCTTGTCCTGCTTGCACGCCAAACTATTACCCTCTTTTTTGCAAAATAAATAAAATCAGAGCTTTGGATCCTGGCGGCCCATCCCGAGAGCAGATTTTTCCCCATATCCCAACAAACCACGGTTTGGAAAAAAGTAAAAAAAACACAAATCATCACCGTCCAACGAGCAGGAGGAGGAAAAGGAGTCGAGTTTTGAGATTATTATTTTTTAAAAGAGGAAAGAGCCACCACATCTGGACATCTGAGCCAGAACATCTGGCAATTTTGTATTTGCTTACCTGGCTGGCTTTGTAGAATTGCTTCTTCAACCCTGCCACAGACATGATGATGAGGATGGGAGTCCCGTCCGAGGAAGCTGCCAAATTGGATCAGGATCCCACTTTGGGGGTGAGCAAGGCGACGATGGTGGGCTGCTTTGAGATCAGAGGAGGGGTACGAAAAGTGGGGCAGGAGGGTCCCAGCTCTGGCATGAAGGGGTCAGCAGCCAGGCAAAGAAGTGGGGTGCGGGTGGGCAGGGAGATCCTGGCCACCCAGAAAAGATGCTCCAAGCCTTGGGGAGATAATAGGGTGGGCTCCCCCCCCCAAAAAAGAAGCTGGGGTCTGGATTAGAGCAGCCCACTGACCAGAGCAGCCCCTTCCCCAATGAGTCAGGGACCCAATTCTCCCTGCTCGAGGCTGACAAGAGCAAAACAGCCTCCCACCCAAAAAACAAAACACCAACCCTCAATTTGAAAGCCAAAAAACCAGCCTCCAATTCATGGAGAAACCTCGAACGGGGCTCTGCCAAAGACAGCAAGAGACTGTCCGCTTGCCAGGGGCTGTTTTCAGAGGCTGGGAAAGGCAGCCCCCTTGCACCACCGCCTCAAAAAGTCCCCGAGCTGCGGCTGGTTGGGGCGGCTTGAAACTGCTCAAGAGACTAGTCCTCAACGAGGCTAAAGGAAGAAGCAGAGATGCCCCGGCGGCGGCGGAAGAGCCGGGTTTAAAAGGCTTGAAAATGATGTCTGGGGCGGGGGAGGGGGGGGAAGTCGTCCCTTTTCCTTCTTCTTTGCTTTTTCTTTTCTCCGGGAAGAGCAGCCGAAGAGAGGGAAGGAGAAAGAGAGAAAACAGGAGGAGGAGAGCAGCAGAACGGAGCGGAGGGACACACAAAGTAGTCCCAGAGCAGGCGGACCAACGGAAAGGGGAATAAAAGGGAAGGAGGGAGACCAACGACGCCCCTCGGCTCCCGCCGAGCTCCGAGCTCAGCCCCGGTGGCTCTCCGCGCCCGTCGGGATGTCACCCGGGCCGATCGCCCGTTTCCGTCCCTCACTGCGCCTGCGCGGACACGCTCTTATTTCCCTCGGCGGAAGGATTCCATTTTTTAAAAAAAAAAAACCAGAGCGGGAGGAGGGGTTAAGGGGGACAAAAAGAGGATCCGGTTCCACGCTTTCCACACCATTGATAAATGAGCGCTAGAGCGCTCGAGTATGCATATATTATTTCCGTCTCTTCGCGCGGGGCGGAGGGAGCGTCAAGGCAAGGCGCCACAGCGCCCCCTAGGCCTCTTCACCCACGTGGTGCCGTATTATACTTGCAAGTCCGCCCGGCCACGTGTTTCAGTACAGCTTCCAAGGAGAAGGCTAAGCCTGCCCATTCCTTGAGCGGGGATGATGGGAGTTGTAGTTCAATCTTTAGAGGAGCGCCCAGTTGGGATTTACCTTATATACAGATAGTTCCCCACTTACAACCATTGGCTTAGGGACTGTTCAAAGTCACAACAGCATTGAAAAAACT